ATGAAACGAAACCTACCGACCTGAACGATTTGAAAAGAAGAATAAGAATTGAATGCTACACAATGACAAGATCAACATCTTCAAATGTGCAAGAGAAACTTGAAAATAGACCTCATCTATGTCTGATGATCATTTTGATTATTTGTGGTGGATGTCTATTCAATTATCCCTTTCGTACATTCATTCATTGACCATTGAACAACATACCATTTGAAAAATACTATGTCTGTAGGGTAATCAAATCAGATGATTTGCCCCAAAATGTCACTGCGTTTGTCAATTTTTTTTATCAGGGAGCAGATTCGTGCCCGAAACGTCCAAAGGTATGTAGAAATTCGATATTTTTTCAATATACTTATATTTTTTTTTTCCAAACCTCATCTGATTTGTCTTACTACACATATATTGTTGAAATAATACTAATAATATTTTTATTTTGTAGAAACTAGGAGAAGATCCCGAAAAATCGAGTAAAATAAATACCATTCGAACTCGAATATCTAGAGAAACCTTTGTTGAAGAGAATCAAATTACCTTAGCAATGATGTATAGCATGCTCCCCATTCCCTATTCAACTTATTGAGGGTGGTTGCTTTGGGAAGTTGAAGTTTGTCTTATCTTTTTTACGTCAAACGGTGAACCACTTCAAATAAAAATCGACTTTTTCTGCAAAATCATCTTTCTACGTGTTATCGAGGGGGGATAATCTCGAAGGGACTCCCTGGTATATGCGAGGGCTACAGTTAGCAAGTTTAGAATATGACATTCCAAATGTATTGTAGACTATATTTTCTTTGACGAGATTGGACGTAACCATAGCAACAGGGGCAAGTATGCGGACAAATAGGTAGCTTCTTATCGGTCGTCAAAGGTCTTGAAATTAATCATTCTAACACGCATGACCAGAATCACGTCTGTTTCGAGATAAATTGACGTTGTGAAATTTCTGAGGTATTTTTTGAGGAGAGTATGTTCCGCAGCCGCTTGATAGGTGGTGCCAGTATTTTTATGACTCAAGGTTGGTAGAAATGTCATGTTGGGATCATTGGCAAATCATTGGAATGTATGAATATATATATACTTCATTATTCCAAATTTTTGGGATTTTCTCTCCTCGTTTCTATAAAATAAAAATATGAATATTATTCCAATATACGTGTAGTAAGGACAAATCAGATGATTTGCCCCAAAATGTCACTGCGTTTAAAGAATTTTCCTATCAGAGAGCCTAAAAGAAAAATTCACTAGCTTGTCAGTGACAATTTGTATTGAAAACTTTTTGGAGAAGAGAAATAAAGGTATATAGAAAAAATATCAAATTTTCACTTATCTTTGGACGTTTCGGGACCGATTCTGCTCCCGTTTTCTGATAGGAAAATTCTTTAAACGCAGTGACATTTTGGGGCAAATCATCTGATTTGTCCTTACTACACGTATATTGAAATAATATTCATATTTTTATTTTATAGAAACGAGGAGAGAAAATCCCAAAAATTTGGAATAATGAATGTACCACCTCCTCGATTAACCTACAGACAGTATATATATACTTCCAGATCACAGCTGGATAGGTGAATAAACTTGAAGAAAGTCGTAGAATATAATAGATTCCCATGACTCCGAAAAGCGATTTTCGATGGGATCACGGCACGAATTCGTTTTGCTCTACGAATAATCATCAATTCTGCCAACCTTGTAACGTCCAAGATATTGCTGCTACCTGAGATCAAAGTTAGGAGACGAGGATTGTTGATTTCTTCATAATTTTTGCCTCTCAAAATTTACGGCTGATGGTTGATAGTCCTATATAGTTTTTGTGCCTGAGTGATACTGTGATAAACGGTTCAAGGCTTGCTTCCACAAACAATGTCATGTCGAGGATGGTGCTTCAATGTATTATACAAGCATTACTTGGACTTAGTTTCAGGTGTTCTAATTTCCTGTGAGAGAGGTATCAATATCATGGCAGTATTAATACCTACATATAGCATATATATACATAGATACTCATGAAAACTTACAATTCGCAATGAAATTTGATTTGTGTAGGTACCCTAAGTGACTATGGAGCCACTGGGTGCGTTGTATCAATTATTATGATAATTGATATTTGAAGATATAATAGTGAAATAAATACCATGTGGTCGAAATTGACATGAGCTAACTGAGATGTATTTTGTGTTGGTTAGACAAAATTAATTTTCTAGACAAAAGTGGAATAAATAAATTGACATGTTCAGACTACAACAGTACTTACATTGGTAAAACTTCTAGAAAAATTTCAATCAGGACTCGTGAACATATCAACAGTCCTAATTCATCAAGTTTTGGTGAACATCAAAAGTCGGGAAATCATAATTTCAATTTTGATACAAACATAAATTTATTGCATAATGTAAAAGGAAAAAATCTTCATTTAGACCTTCTTGAGGATCTTGAGATAACGAGAGAAATGCAAATAAATAATCAATGTCTAAACACACAAATACATCTCGATCAAACCGGCTTCAAACCAATTTTCAAATCTTTAAGGACAAGTTCGATTCCTTCCAATAACTAATTGACTGAATTATGAGTCAATATTCTTTCAATTGTTCATCTGTGTCGCACCATTACTCATAATAACATATTCATTTCATATAATAACATAGAAATGGCAATTTGTTAATTCAATTCAATTTGCAGTTATTTATCCGTATCTGACAACAATGTACGTCACACACACATTTCAATTAATTGCTCCGTCTTGCTTGTCATATGTTCCAATTTGTTCCGTGGTCACTGTCATTAATAATCTTCTATCATTTCGTTTCATGTCAATCTGTCTGTCATGTCTCAATTTATTTGGTTTTATGCCTTTTCTTCCCGAAAGTAGAGGGAACAGCATCTTAATTGATATTGCTATATGAAATATTTTGGATAAATCAATGCTGAATGATACAATTCCATTGTTTTTAATGCAGATCTTCTGCAACACTATTTGACAAGTGAGTTCACAATTTTATTCACATATTTTGTTCTCCAGAATTAACAAACTTTTAACCTCAAATATTTTACACACATGATACCTATAAAGGAAAATTCACTTTTCAGATACTCTCCTGATGATGGCTTAGAGCCGAAAACGTTTGAGTTGACTGATAAATATTGTATACTATAGCCCGAGTATTACTCATTAATATTGATTATTGATTATTATTGATTGCTTTGCAGTATATTCCAATTATTCAACGAACATTTTGAGAAATGATGCTGAAGCATATTCAACATATTGTACTCCTTGAGAATGGAAAAGGAATCCTGATTATTTTGGATTAGTCAAGTGCATCTAAATACATAGAACATACCCTATGTCGACCAAAAGATTCCTATTCAACCACGGTAGATACAATTAACACGTGTTGCAACAACAGTGTTTTATTTCCATCGATGTCAGCAGTACAATTTATGCGTTTATACACAACTATTCACTCGATTTGCGAACGATGGCATATTCAAAACCTCATGTATACCTCAACATCAATTCAAATTTCAGGTATGGAACCAGACAGAAGAAACAACGAGTCCTTCTGGATATGGCCCATTAACGTGTCAGAGGATTGGGATTTTCCCAGATAAAATGAACTGCAGAAATTACTATATTTGCTCGAGATTCTCAACAACCTATCTGGTCACTCACTTGTGTTGTCCGTCAGGTATGAACTATGATGAACGAACTCGTATGTGTCTGTATCGGGTTCCATGTCGATATCCAAGTACCGAAAGTAACCGAACAGAAGGTACTATAACAATCACAACTGCAGAATCAACAATACTCCCCGCTATATCAGATGGGAATGACAACCTAACAACCATGAATTCAGAAGGAATGCCATTATTACCATCTGCAATGACCACAATTATCCCGAATGTGAACAGAGGTATTTGTATATACATTGATAACGCGAAATACTTCTCATGCCACAGAGAAGGTAGGTACTCTAACTTGAATGATCCAACTTGCCAGACCTACTACTTGTGCCATGTGAATAAAAATGGCTCACTTACAAAAACAATATATCACTGCCTTGGAACTTCTTATTTCCATCCAAGATCTCGAGAATGTGATACCAGTTACCAGTGCCCTTGTGGAGGTGTGATGAGAACAATACGAGATAATGTGACGCACACAACAATATTGGAAGCCAGATACACTGATGAAACAATGTCCACCACTTCACTGACCACCATTGACACTGGAGATGATGAATTGATCATGTCTTCGAGAATCACAGACAACGAGAACACCGTCACTCGGAATGTGACTCCAGAACCATGCAGTTATATTGTATCTTCTGAATATTTCGCTTGCAGCAGCAAAGGCAGATTTAGAAATGGAAATGATCCAACCTGTCAAACATATTTTCTTTGTAACTTATTGAGGAATGGTACTTTCATTCGAACTCAATACAAATGTCCTGACACTTCCTATTTCAATCCTCCAACTCAAAAGTGTGATGTTGACTACAAATGTCCATGCGAGAATTTGACGATCACAACAACTGTCTCTATTTCGACTCAATCGCCCTCCATTTCTACAGTACAAACTACATCAGAAATAACAGCAAACGTTTCGGATGTCACAGTAGAACCATGTGTGTTCATAGAAGATTCAGGATATTTCTCCTGCAGCAGCAAAGGCAGATATAAAAATCTCAATGATCCAACCTGTCAAACATATTTTCTCTGCAACTTATTGAGGAATGGTACTTTCATTCGAACTCAGTACAAATGTCCTAACTCCTCCTATTTTAATCCTCCAACTCAAAAGTGTGATGTCGACTACAAATGTCCTTGTGAGAATTTGATGACCACAACAACTGTCTCTATTTCTACTCAATCTTCTTCAATTTCCACTGTACAAGATGAAACTACACCTGCAGTCCTCATAACTACATCAGAAATCACTGAAACCGTATCGGATAACACAGTAGAACCATGTGTGTTCATCGAAGATTCAGGATATTTCTCTTGCAGCAGCAGAGGCAGATATAGAAATCTCAATGATCCAACCTGTCAGACATATTTCCTCTGCAACTTATTGAGGAATGGTAGTTTCATTCAAACCCAGTACAGTTGTCCCAATGCTTCCTATTTCAATCCACCAACGCAAAAGTGTGATGCCAACTACGAATGCCCGTGTAAAAATTCATCGACCACAACAACTGAACCAATTTCGACCCAATCTCCGACGATCTCTACAGTATCAGAAGGATCCACATCTGCAGACGTGATTACTACGTCAGAAATATTCTCAACCGATTCGGATAACACACCAGAACCTTGTGTGCTCATCGAAGATTCAGGATATTTCTCTTGCAGCAGCAAAGGCAGATATAGAAATCTCAATGATCCTAACTGTCAGACATATTTCCTCTGCAACTTATTGAGAAATGGTAGTTTCATTCAAACCCAGTACAGTTGTCCCAACGCTTCCTATTTCAATCCACCAACGCAAAAGTGTGATGCCAACTACGAATGCCCGTGCAAAAATTCATCGACCACAACAACTGAACCAATTTCGACCCAATCTCCGACGGTCTCTACAATATCAGAAGGATCCACATCTGCAGTCGTGATTACTACAACAGAAATAACCTCAACCGATTCGGATAACACACCAGAACCTTGTGTGCTCATCGAAGATTCAGGATATTTCTCTTGCAGCAGCAAAGGCAGATATAGAAATCTCAATGATCCAACCTGTCAGACATATTTCCTCTGCAACTTATTGAGAAATGGTAGTTTCATTCAAACCCAGTACAGTTGTCCCAACGCTTCCTATTTCAATCCACCAACGCAAAAGTGTGATGCCAACTACGAATGCCCGTGTAAAAATTCGTCGACCACAACAACTGAACCGATTTCGACCCAATCTCCGACGATCTCTACAGTATCAGAAGGATCCACATCTGCAGTCGTGATTACTACAACAGAAATAACCTCAACCGATTCGGATAACACACCAGAACCTTGTGTGCTCATCGAAGATTCAGAATATTTCTCTTGCAGCAGCAAAGGCAGATATAGAAATCTCAATGATCCAACCTGTCAGACATATTTCCTCTGCAACTTATTGAGAAATGGAAGTTTCATTCAAACCCAGTACAGTTGTCCCAACGCTTCCTATTTCAATCCACCAACGCAAAAGTGTGATGCCAACTACGAATGCCCGTGCAAAAATTCATCGACCACAACAACTGAACCAATTTCGACCCAATCTCCGACGGTCTCTACAGTATCAGAAGGATCCACATCTGCAGTCGTGATTACTACAACAGGAATAACCTCAACCGATTCGGATAACACACCAGAACCTTGTGTGCTCATCGAAGATTCAGGATATTTCTCTTGCAGCAGCAAAGGCAGATATAGAAATCTCAATGATCCAACCTGTCAGACATATTTCCTCTGCAACTTATTGAGAAATGGAAGTTTCATTCAAACCCAGTACAGTTGTCCCAACGCTTCCTATTTCAATCCACCAACGCAAAAGTGTGATGCCAACTACGAATGCCCGTGTAAAAATTCATCGACCACAACAACTGAACCAATTTCGACCCAATCTCCGACGATCTCTACAGTATCAGAAGGATCCACATCTGCAGACGTGATTACTACGTCAGAAATAACCTCAACCGATTCGGATAACACACCAGAACCTTGTGTGCTCATCGAAGATTCAGGATATTTCTCTTGCAGCAGCAAAGGCAGATATAGAAATCTCAATGATCCAACCTGTCAGACATATTTCCTCTGCAACTTATTGAGAAATGGAAGTTTCATTCAAACCCAGTACAGTTGTCCCAACGCTTCCTATTTCAATCCACCAACGCAAAAGTGTGATGCCAACTACGAATGCCCGTGTAAAAATTCGTCGACCACAACAACTGAACCGATTTCGACCCAATCTCCGACGATCTCTACAGTATCAGAAGGATCCACATCTGCAGTCGTGATTACTACAACAGAAATAATCTCAACCGATTCGGATAACACACCAGAACCTTGTGTGCTCATCGAAGATTCAGGATATTTCTCTTGCAGCAGCAAAGGCAGATATAGAAATCTCAATGATCCTAACTGTCAGACATATTTCCTCTGCAACTTATTGAGAAATGGAAGTTTCATTCAAACCCAGTACAGTTGTCCCAACGCTTCCTATTTCAATCCACCAACGCAAAAGTGTGATGCCAACTACGAATGCCCGTGCAAAAATTCATCGACCACAACAACTGAACCAATTTCGACCCAATCTCCGACGGTCTCTACAGTATCAGAAGGATCCACATCTGCAGTCGTGATTACTACAACAGAAATAACCTCAACCGATTCGGATAACACACCAGAACCTTGTGTGCTCATCGAAGATTCAGGATATTTCTCTTGCAGCAGCAGAGGCAGATATAGAAATTTGAATGATCCAACCTGTCGAACATATTTCCTCTGCAACTTATTGAGGAATGGTAGTTTCATTCAAACCCAGTACAGTTGTCCCAACGCTTCCTATTTCAATCCACCAACCCAAAAGTGTGATGCCAACTACCAATGTCCTTGTGAAAATCAATCTACCACATCAACTGAATCATTCTCCACTCAATCTCCTTCGATCTCTACAGTATCAGAAGAATCTACATCTTCAGTCGTGACAACAACATCAGAAATAACCTCAATCGTATCGGATAACACACAAGAACCATGTGTGTTCATCGAAGATTCAGGATATTTCTCTTGCAGCAGCAAAGGTAGATATAGAAATCTCAATGATCCAACCTGTCGAACATATTTCCTCTGCAACTTATTGAGGAATGGTAGTTTCATTCAAACCCAGTACAGTTGTCCCAACGCTTCCTATTTCAATCCACCAACCCAAAAGTGTGATGCCAACTACCAATGTCCTTGTGAGAATCTACCGACCACATCAACTGAATCAGTCTCCACTCAATCTCCTTCGATCTCTTCATTATCAGATGAATCTACATCTCCAGTCGTGACAACAACATCAGAAATAACCTCAATCGTTTCGGATAACACACTTGAACCATGTGTGTTCATCGAAGACTCAGGATATTTCTCTTGCAGCAGCAAAGGCAGATATAGAAATCTCAATGATCCAACCTGTCGAACATATTTTCTCTGCAACTTATTGAGGAATGGTAGTTTCATTCAAACCAAGTACAGTTGTCCCAACGCTTCCTATTTCAATCCACCAACCCAAAAATGTGATTCCAGCTACCAATGTCCTTGCGAGAATCTATCGACCACATCAGCTTAATCAAACTCTACACAATTATCCTCAATAACGACAGTATCAGAAGAATCTACATCTCTAGCCGTGATCGCTACATCAGGAATCACCTCAACAGTTTCAGATAACACGTCAGAATCATGTGTGTTCATCGAAGATTCAGGATATTTCTCTCGCAGCAGCGAAGGCAGATTTAAAAATCTCGATGACTCATCCTGTCGATTTCATTCTCCTCACAACTTAGTGAGGAATGGTTCTTCCATTTGAACCAAGTACATATGTCTAGATACGTCTAATTCCAATCCACCAAATCAAAAGGGTCGTGTGAGAATTGCTCAACCACAACAACTATGTCAATTTCTGCCGAATCTCCCCCAATCTCTACAGTATCAGGAGGATCTACATCTGCAGTCGTGATAACTATATCAAGAAACACCTCAACCATTTGGAAAATCACACCAGAGCAATGTGTGTTCATCGAAAATTCAGGAAATTCTTTTTGCAGCAGCAGGAGCAGATATAAAAATCTCAATGATCCAAAACTCATCTTCTGTGCAACTCATTGAGGAATGATAGTTTCATTTCATCCCTGTACAGTTGTCCCAACGCTTCTCATTTCAATCCATACAAATGTCTTTATGAGAATAAAACGATCACAAGAACTGATTTAATCCCTCTACCCACTCTTCCCCAATCTCTCATACTGAAAGAAACATCATCTGCAGTCGTGATTACTTTATCAGAAATATCTTCAGCTGTTCCGAAAAATACACAAGATTCATGTGTAATCAGTAAAGATTGAGAATATTTGTCTTGCAGCAGTAAAGGCAGATATAGAAATCTCATTGATCGAACTTGTCGAAATTGTTTTCTTTGCAACCTATTGGGAAATGGTACTACAAATGTTCATGTGGAAATTTCTTGAACACATTTTCTCAATCAATATCTACTCAATCTTTTCCAATATCAACAGTATCAGAATGTTCTTCGTCGGCAATCGTTTTAACTTTATCTCAGATCACCTTAATCGTCTCGAATAGCACACCAGAACCATGAAAGAATCCGGATATGTCTCTTGCAACAGCAAAAGCAGATATAGAATTCTCAATGGTCCAACCTGTCGAAAGTATTTTCTCTACATTTCATTAGGAAATTTTAATTTCATTCATACCCAGTGGAGTTTTCCCAACGCTTAAAAATATAGATGTACTCATGATTATTCATCGACCACAACAACTGAATCAATCTCTACCTAATCTCTTTCGATCTGTACAGTGTCAGAAGAGTAGACTTCTGCAGTCGTGGATATTACATTTGAAATCACCTCAACCGTTTCAGATACCACACCAGAGCCATGTGTGCTCATCGAAGATTCAGAGTATTTCCCTTGCAGTAGCACAGGCATTATATAGAAATCTCAATGATCCAACCTGTCAATTCCATTGAATTTGCAACTTTTTGAGGAATGGAACTGTGATTCGTGTCCTAACACCCCCTATGAAAATAATTCGCGTGTCCTAACACGCCCTATGAAAATTATTCACGATAACAACAACTGGGTCTGTTCCTACACTATCTTCTTTCTTTTCAATCATAACCGTAGAATCTCCATTCGCCATTGCAACCACCACTTCAGAAATTCTTCAGGACATCTCTCTTGCAGAAACAAAGGTAGAAATGGCAATATCGATATTACAATCTGTCAAATTCCTACATCTTTCAAATATTGAGGAATGGTATATTCATTCAGATTCAGAATAATTATTGTTCCAACGAATATCATATAAAGCCATCAACTGGGAAGTGTGATTTGATTATCAATGGCCATGCCAGTTTTTTGTAAATACAAAAATTCATAGACACAATCTCTTCACGCTTGAAAAATGTAATTGAGGTCCTAACTGAAGTTCTTCATCAATCAACTGCAATAATTGTTTAGTCATTTTTCACTTGTTCTTGCACAATCATAGACGATTCGTGTCTTT